CAGACGACTTCGACTGCGCAACTTTCATTAAAGTACACTCCCTTGGTGCCCGTTTCAACTCAGACAATGAGACCGATTGGTGACTGACACTCATGTCGTGGAAAGACGGCAAATTGGGCTCAGACATGGGCGATGATCCGAAGGAGTGCAGGCCAGTCAGTCACTCACGCCGACTTGAAAGTGCCTTTTTGTTTTTGCGCCTTGCTTCGGCCGTCATGCAGGTCATGCCGGCTTGTCATGTCTCGATTCTTTCCTCCACCACCAAGACAAGTCGCGGCTACTGCCGAACCTCTAAGAACCGGCAAAGCGATGATGAAATTTAGTCGCACAAACACTGCAAGATGCCCCGGCCGGAGGAGAATATTGAGAGGGGGATGCGATATCACGTTTCTTTGTGAGCAGATGGAGAGAGGATCTGGCCTCAGCCGTCTCATCACCCCCCTCCTTCCAAGATTCTGCAGGTGAGTGATCCTCCGAGCCCCCCCCCCCCATGTTTGCTCATTGTTTGTCTTTCCTTGATCGTGTGAGATACCCGAGACGCCGCTGCCGCCGTTCGGATCGAGAAAGTCACCCGTGGGGAGCAGCATTGGCAGCAGGTGTGTTGGTCGTCATCGGCGCCCTGGCCCTTGACAACGACTCTCGTGTGGTTGACGGTATCCGTAAAATAAGGCCGTGGGGAGACGGACGGGAAGGGGAAGCGAAAGCTCGCACTCGGAGAGCAGTTTCTGGCTTAGTGCCATCGTCTGACCCCGGTCACCGAGTCGATCCTCCGCTCGGCAGGCAGTGCCCATCCGTATCTTGGGATGTTTGCGGGGTGGGGGGAGGGAAGGGGGGTTGAATCACGTCTCTGCCCCGTTCCTGGTTCACCACCTCAGTGTCTCTTTCCTCCTCCACTCCGGGTTTGTCTTTCGTCGGAAGTTCAGATTGGTCCAGGGAAACCGGGGGAGGGGTTATGGTAGGGTGTTCGAACCTGTTGTTGGATATGCTGACTGATTGCGAGGTAAGGATTATTTGATTCTCTGCCGCACGGCGGCACGGGAGGACGGCGGCTTGGTGTTCCCCGATCTGTCCAGCTTTTCCGATTCAATTATTGATTACTGACCGAAAGTGACGGGGTCCCAAGTTTGCGTCAAGAAGAGGATGATATATGTCCCTGCTCGATTAGGAAGGGGAAGAGATCAACCACCACAAAGGCAAATCACGCCATGGCGACGGTAAAATTGCTGCCACTATCCGTGTCACCAGCATCTCGTCACAGATGGCCGCACCAGATGGCCTCGGTTGAGTTTGGTCCGGTCTGGTTGGACCCCGGTAGTCAATCCCAAAATACCACAATGCTTTTCAATATAAAGACTTGGGTGTCTGGGCTCATGGGACATCACATTTGGCACATCACAATGGGCACATCATGAGAACTTTGGAAGATGAACTGTCTATACTCTGAACGAATCATTATCTGCAGTACAAACTCCAAAAGAATAAAAGACCAACTGACAGTCCAGCGGCATACGCGACGAGAGGATAACGGCATAGGAACAAGAAAATAGACAAGTTATATGCCAAGTTGAAAACCCAAGTCAAGCAACCAAGCCAATCCCCTTGTCCGCTCGTCATCATGCCTGCCTGCCCAACGATGCTTTAATGTAGAATAGTTTCGAAGAAGAACCCCGTCTGCGCGATCTGCCTGCAAAGAGGTCGGTGGGATGGGTTTAGGTAGGTGTGGGTTTCCCCGAGACATTACTCCGGTCATCCCGATCCAATATGCACAACATACGCCGCCCTATGCTGATATAGAAGACGTGCGCACATCTATACACACACATCCCACGCACGCACAAAGTTTCGCGCCTCTATAAGAGGGCGTAGATGCCTTCTCCGTTTTCCGTCTAGATCCCATACTCCGTGTCGCATAACACAGACCGACTCTATGACCAGACATCCTCCTGAGGTATTTGTTAGCATTGGTCACAAAGCTGTTGTGAGAATATAGAATCTGGCGTACCTGGTATTGGTTGGCTGCTCTCATGTTCTTGACAATCTCCTCGGCCTTGGCCTCAGAGATGCCACGCTGCTCCGCCAGAATCTGGCCCAGAACGGTGTTGACCTCACGAGCCATGTTGGCGGCGTCACCACAGACGTAGAAGTAGGCCTTCTTCTCGAGAAGCTCGTTGATCTCCTTGGAGCGCTCCTTGAGACGGTGCTGAACGTAGACCTTCTTGGGGCCCTCGCGGGAGAAAGCGGTGATGAGTTCGAACTTGTCGCCGAGATCCTTCTTGTATTGCTGTTACAATGGTTAGCCTCGCGTCATGGAAAGTGCAAAATGCTTGCTTGTGAAGTTTGCTTACCTCCCACTCATCCTTGTACAGAAAGTCCTCGGTCGACTTGCGGCATCCGAAGAAGAGAATCGTCTGACCAACATCGGCGCCATCGCGAGCCAACTTGGCTCTCTCCTGAATGAAACCGCGGAAGGGGGCAGCACCGGTACCGGGACCAATGCAGATGACGGGCTTGGAGGGGTCGGAAGGCAGCTTGAAGTTGGAATGGCGGACGTGGACGGGCACGTGGATACCGTCGTACTTGTTTCTGGGGCCAGTAATCTCGTAGGTCAGTCCAAAGGCGGTAGGCTCGGGGTCGTTGTTCTGCTTCTGCTTCAGAGCGAGGAGGTAGTTCGTAGCGACACCACGGAACGGGTCGCTGCGGCCAGGGATCGTCTGGTTCTCGACAACGGCGGTAATGGAGATCTTCTTGGGCTGGACCAGGGACGAGGAGGAGATGGAGTAGTAACGGGGCTGGAGCTTGGTGAGACCTTCAATCCACGCGGAGAAGGGGATGTTGGTCCACTTTTGACCGCCGCTGACAGAGTCCAAGAACCGAACAATGTTGTAGAAGTGAGCACCGGTCTTCTCGTGGAAGAGGTCCTTGTCGCCACCGAGCTTGACCATCTCGGCCTTGATGTCTTCGCTGGGAGCGAAGGCGGCGAGGGTGGAAATGAACTGGCGGGAAACGGGGGCGCAGATCTCGAGGTGGTAGCGAACAATGGCATCGTAGGTGGTGGGCGTGGGGAAGGGAACCTTGGCGGTAGGCTCGAGGGCCTTGACGCTGACGACCGAGTGTCTTTGCTCAGTAAGTCCGACAAGGTCAAGGAAGCGGTCAACCTCTTCACCGGGGTTCGTGGGCCAGATGGCAATGTGGTCACCGGTCTGGTAGGACAAGTTGGATCCGCTGATGTCGACTTCGAGATGCAGGCAGTTTCTGTCCTTGACGCTGAAGAGCTCCTTGGACTCGGCAATGGGGGCGATGTAGGGGTTGTGGGCGTTGAAGGGACCCTTGGCGGTGCCCTCAAGATGCATCTTGTTCGGCTCTCCGACGTAGACCTCGGCGGACGAAGCGTCGAGACCCTCGCGCTCGAGAATGCTGAAGGTGGGCTCGTAGACAGCCTCGCGCTCCTCCAGACCCATCTTCTCGGCGAGAGCAGCCCACATGGGGTCCTTCCAGGCCAGGAAATCCTCTTCCATGGTACCGGCGCCATCGTCACCCTCGCCAGCCTCGCCGATCTTGTGTGCGCCGAGCTTCACGAGAGCCTTTGTGACGTTGCGAACCATAGAATTGTAGTGCTCGTAGGTGTTGTTACCGAGACCGAAGGCGACAAAGTTGAGGTTGTCCAAGGCGGGGTCGTTGCCCTCAGAGAAGGAGACGTCCTCGCCGGTGATAAATTCGTAGAAATCGACGGCGTTATCGGTGGGCTCGCCCTCACCGTAGGTAGCGAGAACGAACATGACGACCTTGTCGCTAGGGATGGAATCGAGGTTATCGTAGTCGTAGTCCTCCAAGTCGGCAACCATGGTCTCGAGACCGAAGCGGCTCTTGCCTTCCTTTGCGAGTCTCGAGGCGTAGTCCTCGGCGGTACCAGTCTGGGATCCATAGAAGACGATGCAGTTCTTTCCCGACTCATCCATCTTCTCGATGATGTTTCTTGTCTTGCCCGCCTTGGCGCCATTGGCGTTGGCAAAGGCGTTGGCATAGGGGTCCTTGACTACTCCCCAGTATTTGCCCTTCGTGAAGTAGGCGGCCGTACCCAAGAGGATGACGGCCAGGACGACGATGTCCAGCGTGTCGAGTTCCGCCATGTTGGGCCGTCGGACTCAACTGGACTGCTCGGAAGGGTTGCGGCTCGGAAGCACTGACAATTCCGAGGTGATGCGCGACAGCGAGAGGTGTTTGTGTTGCAGTAGGGAAGTTTGGCGGGGTTGCTGCAAGGAGGTAAAAAAGTCGCAAGCGAGCGATGGAGATGAAGAATCACCGACCCAGAGATGCGAGTGGGATTGCCGAGTTGACAGCCGTGAATAGGCGACTATTTAGGGGGGGATCTAACAGCCGCGGGAAGTGGCGGTTGTTGGAGGAAGTTGGAGAAATTCAAGCCTCGTGAGGTAAGGTGAGGTAAGGTACGGAGCGGAATACTGCAATCGTGTTCACATGAGATCAGCGGGGGTGATTCGACAATTGGCCGGGAGGAAGAGATGGTGGATTGCGGTGGTGGAGGAGGAGGAGGAAGATGTGGGTAAAACCAGAAGGGAAGTCTGGTCAGACCGTCAGACCCAGGATTTAGCCCGTCGGTCGGGGAGAGTGGAAACAGTGTGATGCCGAGTTTCGGACACGCACCAGTGCCAGCAGTCCCGGCGCCGCCAATGACGGCCTGACTTGACCTTGCACTGTACACTACCTATACACAGTATGTCGTATCCAGTTGCAGCGCAACCGTTTTGGTAGTGTAGTGTACGTAGTACAGCGTGGGAACAAAGGCTGACACCTAGGTAGGTAGACCAAAGCACTGGGATGGGGTGACGGGGGTTTAGGGTCCACGGGCAAAGGAGAAGAATACTTGGGCTTACCGGTCTGTGCAAAGGACGCCGAGACCCCCAGTTGGGAAAGGCACGGGCGGAAGCACACAGGCAAAGTTGAGCTTGGGACGACTGAATAGTGGGAGAGCGCGGGAAGAAGAATTAGTGAGGTGTGAGAGTGTCGGGGAGTATTGTGTCGTAGATGTCGCCGACTGCGGTACGGAGTAGAGGAAAGAGAAAGGATAGTGAATAGTAAGCGGATTCGGGACGAACAGTCAGCGGGAAGAAATAGGAACGGCGGAGGCTGGAGGAATTTGAGAAGAAGGGCTTAGAAGGAGGGAGTGAGAATAAGAGTAAGAGTAAGGGTCGGGGAGGGCAAGGCCAAGAGAAAGTAAAAAGAGACGACGGGGTTTGTTGGTGCACTGCAGAAGTCTCTCGTCTCGTTCGACGCAAGTTGATGAGGACACTGGGACAAGCAAGCAGGCCGGGGCGGGTAGGCCGCATGGAGCACACGAGGAAACGGACGGAACTTTGGATCGGAAGTGCGATAAGGGACCGGCGGGCATGTTGCATTCAACGGCATGGCTCGGGGATGGTAATGGCTAGTGGACACTGCGCTGGGCTGACTTGGTCTTCTTCCTTGCTAGCAACCGCCTAATGGAGTACCTTACCTTGGGGAACAATGTTACTGTGTAATAATGTCATGTACGAATATTCGTAATGAGACAAGGCAAGTCAGGGTAAGGAAGGCAAGGAAGGCAAGGAAGGCAAGGAAGGCAAGGAAGGCAAGGAAAGGTTCGGATACTTGGATGCATTCCGCGCCTCAGAGCCTGGAGAGAGAAGCATGGAAGCCCGAGGCAATCTGGAAGGAACCTACGTAGTAAGGGCTCTCCACCTTCTAGTCGGGTCGGTTTTGGCAAGCTCTGCTTCCAGGATTTGGCAGGGCCGTTCCGAGTCGAAAGCGAGCTGGCCTTCCTTCCATTTTCTGTCCCACTCTCGGCGGAAAGCCATTGCTCAATTTCCTCCCGTCTGTACGGAGTAGGTACCTTCCATATGTGCCTTCCTCTGTGCAAGGGAAATTCCTCTACGTACTGCTGTACCTTGGCAGCTTCCATACGAGTGAGTGTCCCTACCGCACCGCTTCGGCGCGGACTGTCAGCCTTTTCTTCCTTCCTCTTCCATAATTCTTGGTAGTCCGCCCCAAGACTGAGAACGAGGAAACCACGGGTCAATTCCTGGGCAGGTAATAATAGTCCGCACCTTCCACCATTCTCTCTACACAGTACCTACCCCGTCCCTTCTGCGTGGTGTTAGGTTCTTGCCGCTGCCATGTACCGTCCCCCCGCCAAACATTCGATACGTACACGCCAGACGCACGGTCTTCTCGGTTATATGCTTAGTCAGTCTGGAGTAAACCACTCAGGATGGAGAAGACGGACTTGGAGCTTCGACCAGCGGATCCCGAGGGGTCGGTGCCGAGATATCTCCACGCCTGGGTCCCACCGCGGAAACTTTATGATTTACCTTCCACTCACTGCTTCCACCTTATTGACGGTCACGGCAGTCTTTTTTGCATGGTACGGCAATCGTAGACTGGAAACCGGCAGAAGCCTACTATCGAATAAGTAACTCTCTTTTGCTACCAGCCACACCACATGGCCGTAAACTCTCACAACCATACACTCTCACAACATCTACGGTAAAGAGCAGACCGCTGTTCTTTACAGACTACAAGCCTCTGAAAGGTGGTCTGATGAGGCGTCGACGGACCGCTCCTACGTCCATAATAAGAATTCAGGAATCAGGACAGCTTGCTAACACTCCAGGTAGGTAGTGGACTATCCTACCCGTACGGAGTACATCCCACCCTGCGGTATGCCAACAAGGGGACGGTGCGTCTGACTCGGGTGGTTCGTTGAATCATTCATCGTTGATGACACCGCAGTAGCAGTCCCGTTCTCCCATTCTCTTTCTCCGCTTCTACACCATTCGATTGGGTTGGCACACGAGTGACGACGGTAGCCCACATGGTCACTGCCACAAGCCTAAGCTGGCGCAGGGAAACCCCGCGAGACCGATAACGAGCCCAGCCCACACTTCATGCCGCCTCGCCACGGCACCACGGCAGTTGTTGTGTCATGTCCTCCAAGCCTCCAACAGTTAACGACTCCAACAGTCAACGACTTTACTCTAGGTGCTGCGGTCAGTTCTGGCACGAGGATACCCAAGTGGTTATCTACTGCGTACGAAACTACGAGTACGCCTTTTCTGTACTACGATCTACTGCATACGGATGTAGTATGGATGCGGACGGCTCCTTGGCATCTGTAGTGTACTCGACACAGTACTCTGCATCACCTGCCTCAGTCCTTACACCGTTGACCTCTCCCATCAGTCTACATACATGAGTTGCCTTTAACGCTGGCCCATTCCGCGGCTGCCCGGTGCCTCGGGTTCCGTCGCAAGGAACTGACGCAGTCCATTTCAGGCCACGTCTTCATCAATGACAGCCACATTTGTTTCGGCCGAAGCCTCCGACGACCCAAGCTTTTGCTTAATGACATGGCGACTCGGCCTAACAATCTCAGATCACTCCGAGCGGCGCCAGGGCGCAGCGGTGATCCACGCGGGCCGTACCTCGATGCTTCTCGAACACGTTTTCTCCAAAGCCTTCATCTCGGGAGTCGACGTATTGTGTTCGCGTAGGTATGATGATCATCAACGGCGAGGCGTTTTACTGTCAACTGGGATACCTATCGGACTGGTAGAGAATCCAAAACCGAACACGAATACGCGGAATCTGTGTGCCTCAATAGGCCCGCTGTCTCAACCACCCACCACCCCAACTCTCCCGGCCGTCCCTGTCTGCACACTGTCCGTGGAGTGGAGCCCAACAGTCGACGGCATCACGGTGCGCCGGGCCCGTCCCAAAGTCCGCTGCTTCCATGATGCCGGCCGGCGATAACATGAAGGAGAGAGAGATCGCCACTGTCTGCCTCAGCTTTTTCCTCTAGCCAGGGTGGTGAGCCACGCCGTCACTGCCGTAGTGAGACCGGATCAGCATCCGAAACAATCACCGGACCTCTTTGCTAGCGATCCAGCATAGGCACCGGGCCTAGATTACGGGACAGCTGGCCTCTCCGGGCGGTTTGGAGGGTTTCACCGCAGCTTCGGTCTCGGACCTTCACGCCAGTCCTGGCTCTCCTCCACCGGCGGATACCCACTCTGATCCTACCTGGGCCGCTTCTTTGTCTGCAGGCGACGCTCCACCCCCACGCCCGTGTTTGCTGATGAAAATAGAAGCAAAATAGGGCTTTCAAGCGATTAGCATCATCGAATTGTGGCCAGAGCCAATGTCCTAGGGTTCGAGTGGTACTCGTGAGAATGGCAAGCGGTGCAGATTCCACCGAATAATGAGCCAACGTTGCCTCCTTAAAAGGGAGTCAGTCTCTGCGAACGACTTTGGACTGGCAGTACCATCGATTTCTTCGCCATGGCTCGTTTCTCGTACAAGCGTGGCAGAGTTGAAACCCTCGACAAGTTGTCTTTCAATCACCTGCTCCACCGCGAGTGCCGAGCATTACCGTCCATTACTTTCTTTTCTCACCTTCACCATGATCTCACCTTGGCAAGCCAGGCTGGGGCACCTGGCGTTGGTGATTAAACCCACGTATTGAATGCGATGCCATCACGCGGTCAGGGCCGACAGGGTCAACGGCGTCCTCGATGCCAGTCAACTTCATCAAATGGTCATGAATGGTCAGAAAAAACTATTACAGACGCTCTCAACCACTGGCTGCTTGCAGAAAAATGGAAGACGCCATTGCGACGGTTGCGAGATATGACAGCGTTAAGTCGAGAACTGTCGATCGACGGCATTCGATGCTGGCTCATTTGAAGCGTGAACTGGGATTGATGTATTCGGATATTTCCAGGCCACACGTGCAGCGGACAATACCAGCGGCAACCATCCTGCATGTGCCGCAGCCTGCGGGCATCAGCACCGGGAAGCGAAATGGTTCTCGGGCAGCAAGTCTCGCCCATTCTAACTTCAGTTGCTGCCCGTTGGTCGTCAACACATTTCCACGGTAACATATTATGTATGGATATTTGAGCCGCCTGGCGTCGACGTGACACATCGTCCGTTTCTTTTGGTCGGCCAACGGAGTCAGAAAATGCCATCGGGGGCCGCACGGCAGCCCGCTGTTGCGTCTGCATGAGCATGAATATGACCGGATCAAACCCCAAGGAAGTCTGCACGTTCAAAGACGATGCGACGTTTTGCTAGGCGACAGACTGTGCTCATATTTGCGGACTGCTTTACAGGTTCACACGGACTTGACATACTAATCATTTATCTCAGGAATCAGGAGCAGCTGAAGATTAAGAGACCAGATTGTGATGCACGAACGGAGCTCTGGGCTTATCAAAGACTGTCATTCTTATTCTACAAAGTGCGAGCCAACCTCCTGATACTGCTCGGCCTCGTGGGCATGGCAATATTAAGAGTGTTCAGCTGGATGGGACCGTGACAATTAATGCCTGCCTACCCGCATTCCCGCCGCCGCCGCCTGCCTCACAGATTCACAGCTCGGCCAATGTTTCCGTCCCTGGGCCATTCCCAGCAAGCTTCAGCGCATCCAGGGGTTCAAGAGGAGTCGTCCGTTATTAAGCTCTCGAGTCGAGGCTTGGTCTTCCCCGTCTCAGGGACCCTTCAGCCTATTGTGCCTGTGTGCCTGGGACCTTTCAGCTATTGGGCGGTGGACCAAGCAATGCTTCCCTTGGGTGCCCCTCTTCGTCGAGTGGTTTGTGGAAGAAGCTGATTGGGCGTGGCCCTTGCATAGATGCCCCCCTTGTCGCGTGGCCAGTGCTATGGAGAAAATTTGTGACGGACTGGCGATTTGGCCTGGCAGCGAAGGTTTCTGGGCTAAAGAAGCCACATCTCGGGTCACTTTGCTAGTGTCTGACAAGAAGATGATGATTGGCGCCGACAGTTGGACTACGGCAAAGACGGTGATGTGCCAGTGGGCGAATCAAGCGAGGCACTATGGATGTGCATCTGAGAGAGGAACATCGACATCATCAATGGCCTACCTATCCACGGATACAGGTTACAGCCGAGCAAGAGGGCCACGAGGGCCTTGCAGGTTCAGGTCCAGGTTCAGGGACGGGCAGGGAGATGCCGAATGAGAGGTGCAGGTCTCAATTTGAAGAGGGACTCGAGAAGCCATTTGTGATCTCATAGCTCGCGGTGCCTTGGGCAGCGGATGGCTCAGGATCAGGGGAAAGAGGGGAAAGGCATGACATGGACCGGCACGAGACCCTGTTGACTTTCTTTTCTTCTGCTGGTCCTGTGAGACTTGGGACTTGGAGAGAGAGGAGAGACAGGCGGGAGCAAGACAAGGCATTTGATAGCTTGTTGGATTGGTGAAGTTGCATCGGGTAGGTAAGACCTCGTCGTGGTCATGGCTGACGAGCATGAGAAAGAAAACATCATGACCTCAGAGGCTCTGAGAAGCGACAATACATAGTACATAGCTTACGCAGTACTCCGTACTCCGTACCCAAAAAGT